TACTAAAGTTTTCATTTCTAGATTCCAATATTTAGTTCATTAACCCCCAAATATCTTTGTACAAAGCATAATCATAGGGTCAAACGTGCACATATAAGAAGACATTTGGATTTTACCTTAAGAGGGAATAAACATCCTTTAACAAGCTAGCTCCGTCAGGCACTGGAAACAAAAATATTGAGACAGAACTAGGTCCATTTTTTTAACTGTGTCAACCACTTTAACATGGCAAAATAAATTTTTTTACCAGCTTTATTTTTATTCAAATTAATTTCATTCAAACGTTAAATTAATCCTGGACTAACTTAATATTGTGTTTCAATATGTGCTGAAATATGATACTAGCAAAATCCTGTATCATCCATCCAAATGTGTTTTCTTGAGGTATTCAAGACAGTGCATATCTTTTCAGAATGTCATCTGATTCAAGAATTGGCAATATAGATCTGCCTAGCAAGTGATGATTAACAAAGAGATCTTTGAATGGAGCTTGGTGAAAATTCAAGGCTTTAACGGAATTTGTGAGAAAATGTGGCAACATATATGAGTTATTCTATTTTTGTCCAGACAACCTATAAATCCAAGAATCATAAATTATAAAGATAGAATAGATGTTATCTCTCTGGAACTTCATACTACAGGAAGTCTTATAGAGAAAAAGAAATAGATTACTTTTCACATAGACATGGTTTTAAATTTGATGAATACACCTTTATTTAATGGAATATCTTCTCTACACAGGCTCCTTATAGCCTGCTTGTCAAAGTCACTGGCCAAATTCAAAATATTATTACATTAATGTGAAAGTCATATCAGATCCAGGAAAGCTAGCTTATAATACTTTAGCAGATGACAATTTTCACTACTGTGCTGTTTCTGCTTCACGTTACCAAAAAGGCTCTAATGCTCAGTATCATCAGTGCTGCCTGGTTGTTCAGCTGTTCAGACTCTTAAAAGTTGATACAGTATTCTAGATGCATGAGCTCACCACACACTTGCATTTTTAACTAGTTCTATGAGAGACATAGGTAAAAATTTACTCCTACAGAAACCCTAGGGAGTTTTGCATTTGGTTTCAGTGGAGTCAGAATTCCATGCCATATATCAATAAGAATTTGCTATATCGTGCCAACTGAAAATTATTGCTGATGTAAGCACTAGGGCTTTGATGACATTCTTTTAGGATAGTTTTCAAGGATATGAAAATATAATTTTCATTTAATTAAAACTGTCAGAGAACATAAAAGAAAAAAAATAGTAACTGAGACAGCTAAAAAAGAGTTCCTATATATAAAAGGCAGCTATAAAAAAAAACCCAGTAGTACAATATTTTAAAATGTCATTATATTAATGCAGCTGATTTAAAGCAGCTGTCATACCTTATGGTAACAAATAGCTTCCAGCAAAGGAGAATGTTACTGATAAAGACCCAAGTAGTGAATTTAGGTTATTTTTTTCATTCTGTTGATTGAAAGATACAGAGTTACTATAGACAACACATGATCTGGTCAATAGTTAAAGATAATAATAAAACACAACATAGACAGTAAAGTTTTCATTGAAACTCATGCATTTTTACATGCATAGCTATACCTAATACACCTAAAAATACCTCAATGCTATTTTCAAAAAGCTACTTGTTTGTTTTCTATCAAGAAAGAACTTTCTGAGTTTTTGAATTCTAACAGTTGCTCTAGCCAGAGCACATCAAAAATACAGTTGAAGGACAAAAGTGCTAATGTATCTAGTTCTCTATGGCTCAAAATTATTTTCTGGATTCTTGTGTATTCTTCTTCCTACTCCAGAAAGAAGCATGAGGACAAGGACATGAAATATTTCCAAGGTGTCATTAGCAGGCATCCATGTAAGCACTTATAATAAATATGGATGATGCATGATACTTCCTCCTGTGAAGTATCCAAAGACTTTTGGCATCATCAGACACTCTCCCACCAGAGTATTTCACACCAGTTCCATGTACTTGTGAGCTACTAAAAGCAACGATGAGTATAAGTGCTAATTGGCATTAAATATCAATGATACACAGCATGTATATCCCCAACACTGTGATGACTTGCAGACCTGCATCACGTAGTGCACTTTTTAGACTGGAAGATTACACAATTAACTGTAGAGCGGATTTTGCTATCTGCCTATAGGCAAATGCAGTTCTTTGCCTATTTCTAGATGTATCCACTTGTGCAAGAATGCCTAATGGCAGCTATTACCAAGTAATTGTCTGTCATTGTCTGCCTTTGATCTGCAAGAATGGTTTTAAAACTTGGGTTTAAGCATCTTCAGAAAAGCACCTTAATTTCTTTATTCATACTGCTGTTCATATATTCAGTGCTTAAGAATGCTCAGAAAGTGACAAAATGTAATCACAGCAACTAGAACCAGCAAAGACTTCAGGGAGTTCTGTCTCACATTCTTCACATAGAAGCACAGAGATTTCCTTTACTAGACCTGATTTCTGAGCTGGGATCTAAATCGCAGAAGGATTTCATGGAAGACAGGACAGCTGCTGTGTATCAGAGATAAGGAACATGCACAGATTTAAGAATTTCCTCTAACACTGCAGCCATAGATCTAAATCTAAGCTATGACTAGCTGGGAGGGAATGATGGAAAAAAAAATATATAGGGAAAAGAAAGTGATATACATAACTCTTTCCTGTGGCTGCTCTTTATAGCTTTCTTTCCTTTTCAGTAGAGTGAAGGCAACATTTTTCTCTGTAATTCTAGGAAATTGTCTGAACTGAGACCAATTTCCCAGATGGGATAAACTAGAGTTGTTTCATTCAAGTGAATGAAACCAGATGATTTTTTTTCAGTTGAAGGCTGTGATCCTTGGTACCCTCTAAACTAAACTTATCCCTTCTTGAAAAATAAGCTTTCTTGGGACACCTTAGAGCAGCCTTCCAACACTTAAATGGGGCATACAAGAAAGCTGGAGAGGGTCTTTTTACAAGGGCATGCAATAATAGAACATGAGAAAGTGGCTTTAAAATGAAAGAAGGCAGACATAGATCAGACATTAGGAAGACATTCTTTACTGTGAGGCACTTGAACAGGTTGCCCAGAGAAGTTGTGAATGCCCCATTCCTGGAATTGTGCAAGGCCAAGCTGGATGGGGCTTTGAGTAACCTGGTCTAGAAGATGTTGGGGGTGGGTTGGACTGGATGATCTTTAAGGTCCCATCCAACCCAAACTATTCTACAATCTCATGTGTTTATGAATATCAAGAGCTTCAGACAGCCAATTGCCATGAAAATGGAGCTTTTATAAATTAGGCTTAGAATGGTAAAGACAAAACTAATTGTTTTAAACATGAAATAAAGAATTCTGATTGCTGAATGCTGAAGGACTAGTAATCATACCTTAAGAGTGGACCTTCTATTTAGTTCTCAAGAAATAAACTTTCCTTTTCCTGAATAATGAGGTATTTCCTTTCTTTTTCTCTTTTTCCTTCCTTATTGCAATAAATTATAGGGTTTCAATCAAAATTATGAAATAAAAACAGCAGACATAATCCACGTCAAGGAAAGAGAGATTCTTATCTCCTCTTTTACAATGTTGTCTGGTGTACATGAAATTTAAGTTTTATATTATTAGATGGCAATAGATTAGAGTTATATATTAACTTTTATTTAGGTTTTTCCCTGTGTTTTAAATCCTTCACTGAAAAACAATATCCATCCATCCATCTACCTCTCTCTATCTATCCCAGTTACTTTATTTCCCACTGAAACCTGAGTATTTCTGGAGAGACTCACAGCAAGTTTTTTATAGTTTACCATGTTATAACAAGAAATACTGAATGCTGCTGTCTTCAATTGAAATCAAAGGAAAACTTCAGAAAGTTTAGAAAAGTGGACTACATATCTATGCTCAAATTTGACATAAAGTAATTACGGTAAGCTTCCCTTGTGTTTTGGAAAATACATATTTGGAAGAGGATTTGACTCCAAGTGGGGTGGATTTCTCATTCACCTCTATGACGTTAAAGAACAGTTATTTCTGTCAGAACAACACTAAAACACTGCTGTAGAATTAGACTGGCAGAACAATCTGCTTTTACAAATTTGACAAAATAGCTTCTTGCAACTTTCCATTTCTTTCTGCAGATGCAATGAATCCTGTTTAGGAGAGACAGAAAGCTAGGTGCCCAGTGGGAAGAGACTGGCACCCTGCATCCTTTCGCTAAGAGTAAGCTAAGCACACTGATAATCTTTATAGCAGTATTTGCAGAAGCGTGTTCCAGACAGTGTCTTTTCCCTGACATTTGTCCTGAGTGAGACAGGGTGTGAGAGATAACTTGGGAAACAGCCATGAATTATCTTACCTCTTCCTCAGAGAGTAACCATCATTTGGTGGGATCTATTAGCATTCAGTATCTGCTGTCCAGACTGCCCTGAGCAACATTTCTTACTAAAACAAGTAACAAATTAATGTTCAGGGGCAGATACTGGGATTTAGAGCGCACTCTATAGGTAAGAGTGACAAGCACAAGAAGAGAGCAAAGCTATATTAAAATCTTTTCATAATACTTTACAGCTGTTTAAAGATGGATCATTTTCTGCAGCTCTACAAAGCAGCCCAGCAAGACTTCAGTATACTGAAGTCAGCAAAACAGTTTAATAGTTCCTCCTTAATGTATAAAAGTAGCATAGTAAGGCACCTTTCAATTTAATTAAGGGTCTTCTAAGAACTGACAAAATTCATTTCTCCTTCCTTCTTAAAGAATACTAAATCCTTATTTTAAAATTTAATTTACCTGCAGTCTGGTGTCCAAGTTGTCAGCAATTTCTTTTTTTCCTTAAGTGTAGCACAAATTGCTCATTTTAAAATTATATAGCAGCAAAAAGAAAAGATTTTTTTCTTTTAATGGTTTGGGGTGCTTTTCTTCCCACCAGGATCCCTCACATTTATACTAAATACAGCTTCATTTCTCAAAATGAAATTTAACAAGCCGTACTTAGGAGTGAGAAATGGACTTACTAGATCATATTCAATTGCTCTTCGATGTTATTCTTCATCCCCCAAAAGGCAAAGTAAGAACATACTAGGAAATGAGAGGAATTTTATCAGTCATTGCTGAACAATACGAACATACAATGCAAAAACAGCAGACAGTATACTTGGAAGTTGCTACAGAACTACTGCTGTCCTCGTGAAATTCTGATTTTCAGACTGTTGATTCAAGGATTTTGAACTAGGCTATGCTTCACCTGCCTTGCAGACTGCAAGGGATAATGACCAATTCCATTTTCAATCCAACAATCCTTGGCCATGCCACTCTGCCCATTATACAAGTGGCACAATCATCAAAAGCATGAGTAAAATTCAAAGATCCACACTTCATACTACAACTGTAATGACCTGACTTTTTATGCTCCTGAGTAAAAGGTCCTTTTTTTCTGAACACATGCTGAATTTTGCTATTTTTGGAATGTTCTCTCAATGGGAAGTTTCAATATCAATTCAGTGCATAGCGATCGCTTCATTCAACACCAAATTAGTTATGGATGCTGAGCCAGTGCTGTGTGTCATGAAGAATGCCTGTAGAAAGTCCTGACTGTGCTGTAATAGTGGATACTGTCAAAAATAAAATTCATAAGCCAGATCCACAGCTTGTATAAATCAGTGCAGCTTCACTGGCACCAGCTCTGTCTCACTGCATCCATTTAAATAGTTTCTCAAACTCCTGATCCAACATTTTTGTCCAAGCGCTGGTTTAGGTAACTGCAGGCCAAAGTACACACATTTAAGAAAAACAACAATAACAACAAAGTTGTTCACTGTTAATAAGCAAGAATGAAGATTAATTTTTAAAATATTTGTCTGGTAATTAGTTCATTATATTCTTGTGGAAATTATATTTAATGCAGTATTTCTCAAAAATGTTTCCACTTAATCAACACCAGGGTCACAAAGATCCTCTAGAACAATTTCTGTCTCTGTCCTTTGCAATGACAATTGGATTTCTGTCACAAGGAATAAACAAGAGGAGGTTCCTAGTAGAAGCGGATGATGGCTATGAGGAATTCAGTGTTTGATATGCATGGGAGTCTTTCCTCTGGAACGAAGACATTAAAAGGTTTAGATTACAAGTACTTAAATTTAAATTCCATTTTCACTCCTCTTCTGATGAATTATGACTTACCAAAGCCATGCCAAAATTAACAAACAAAATCAGAATCAAAAGTCCCAGGTTCAAACTTTCTTTTATAGTATAAACAATGTTGTTTTCACAATAATATTAAATCTACCTTAGATATACTTTCATCAACTGGTACTAAAAAATCAGCTGTTTTGAACTGCAGAAATTAAACTAATCATTTCATCTCCACTATTTTCCCAGTCACCTCACTCAAGGATAACTCATGTGCCACTGACCAATGGCAATTAAGAGGACTTCAGAAGAAAAGTTGGAATGTTTCTATGACACTGCTGTTTCCCATTTGTCTCTTCAGGCAAATGTCATAGCCCTTAACAGTATCATATTCTCTTGTGCAATATGCAGAAATACCACGTTTCTGTTTAAAGTTACAGATTTATCTTAAACATAAAAAGTAACAATTGGAGACGGCAAAAGCCTTTCATTATTTTGAATGTTTGATCTTAGTGAGGCCTCACAGCACTTCAGTTAAGTTAGGAAAAAAAAGTGTAAAACTATCTGGACTGTATTAGAAAAAAGTACCCATAATCTTTGATGCTTATTCCTTTCTCACAAGTATGAGCTACTATTTTTCTTTTGCTTAAAGCAGCTGGCTGCAAAATCTTGAAAATGCAAAAAGTCTTTGCCAAGAGAATGAACTTCAAAAATTTTTCTGTATTTTAACACCTGTAGTTCATTGTCCAAAATGCATTTAAAATGTAATATTGAAATATTTTTCAGTATCAATCAAAATGTTGTTATAGGAAAAAAAAATATTCATACTCACTTCATAGGGTAAAACTGTAGGTTTGCTGGAAATGAAAGTAGCATTTGTCCAAACAAGTCCGTCTTTCAGGAACTTTCCCCCCCTATACTTCCTTGCCTACATGCAATGATGTATCTGAAAGATGAGTCCTCACAAGTTAATCTTAAACCTGTTATAGAAAAACAGAATTCAAACTTGGCTTTTGCAAGCAGTGTAGAGATTTTTTACCCTGCCCCTTGTTCATTCACAGTAGAGCTGGGCGGCGCATGCGACATTTGCCATTATTTGCAACTCTTAGTTGAAGAAAACTATGTCCTGTGCCACAGCTAATGGGGCAATTCCTGTAGCTCTTGTAGCAGAACTTTTGTTCTGCAATACTGAGGATTATAAATTTATACCCTGCTGCTAAAATATGCTGTTGAGGTCATTACTCAGTCTGAGCTAAAGCTGATTTGATCTTGAAACTCAGCAGAGTAGCTTCCTGACTCAAGATCATAGAGTTATAGAGTCTTTCTCAATAAAGGGTCAGATTAAAAAAAATAATAAAAAGAAATCACAGGGGGGGGGAAAATCAAGAAGCTCATTTCAGCTAATTACTACCACCATATCTGGCTCATTAGTGCCACTGACTCATGTGGTGTGAAAAACCAACTGAAAAGGTTGCACACCAGCAAACTAAACATGAAAAATACTCTTTTGTAGTTATAAATGAAATAGAATACTTGATTTATGGTCAATTAGTCCTCTGACCATCTGTTATATCTTAAGTGGTAAATAGGTAAATAATGCAAAAAACATAGGAGTTGTGAAAAAAAAACCCCTTAGAAAATGTATCTTCTTAATAAGCTACTTTCTTTTAATTTTTAAAAAAATTTACTTAATCTCTTCCACTCATCCAAAACTACTGCCAACAGAACTTACTGAAAAATAGCCTGTTATGCAATACCATGAAATGTACACAGTGGTTTTCATGATAATAAACTATTCAAAAGCCTGGAAATTCTTTTTGCAGAGCCTGGGGATAAAAATCTAAAGAATTTAATTTCTACAGACTTTACAAGAGAGTTTTATCCATCCTACAAGATAACCCCCAACCACAATCTAAAGAAATAATTTTAGTTAGGTTCTGGGGAGGAACTACTGGCCCCAGCAAAATAATTAGAAAAATACTTTATTCTCACAAGAGGTTCATTACACTCCACATGTTTTAATAAGAAAAGAAATGCAGTCCTGTTCAATTTGTAGATCTCTACTCTTTTCATGCCTGTTAAATCCTACATCGTGTTCTCTCTCCCTCATACATATTTTCTTGTGAGTCATTTAGAGATAAGCACAAATACACAGAGATTTAAAGGACTGAAGCCAGCATGCTTCATGATAATCAAATATTTCATTCCTAAAGTAGGAGTAAGGTGTCTACCTAATTTTGAGGATCTGAGCCAGAGCTACTCTTTGCAACTTGTTTTTGCATTGTTCATAGTCATTCTCCTGGAGTTTTAAAAGCCTTCTATTCGGTTCAGTTGAGTAATACACAGATCATCTGTTTCTAAGCTAGAAAGAGAGCCATGTTGTGATGTCCTCTAATTTAGGGTCATCCACCCCTTTCATTAGTGTGTGTACTGCAGATAGAAATAAGAAAAAATTATGGAGTGGAGAAAGTGCAGAATTATAATATGCAGTGGATGTTTATGCAGAGGATCTGAAACCATTACCAGTCCTTTGAGACAGTCCTGAGAGACTAGGATTCAACAACCTGAATATTGTGCCATGCAAATGAGACTGAATTGCTTCTGGGGAGAGGTAATGAAATGGGAAGATGAGTGTCTTTGTTACCATTTTCTATTTCAAAGAATAATCATGCCTTAAAGCTGCTGAGACCAGTTCCTCAGATACTTGTTTGTGGCTTGGGCTTCCAGACAAATCATGACATTTACAAGTGCTGTTTCATCCTTCCAAAGATGTTAGCACAGCTGACTGTCTATTCTGTTGTTAGCTGAGAGGTGAATATATAAATATACCAAAACATATATATTTCATAGGGACACATACTTAAAAAGAGATAGGGACTGGAATTAAGGTCTCAAAAGAGGAAATTAACTCACTTGCCCACTGACTCACCCTAGCCTAGCCTTGTTTGAGGATAGTCACATGATCCACTAATTTGAAATCTAATTATGCTCTACTACCAAGCACAAATGCAGGGAACTGCATGTACCCAAGGAGACGTTTCAATGAGCTTTCCTCTGTGGAATGTCTGCAATACCTAATTTTAAATCAGGACCCAAGATTTTGCCTTCACTGAAATGAAGCTAATCTCTGCACAGTGAACCAAAAGAGCATTCCCTTAATTAGTGGTGTCTGTGTTGGGCCAGACACAAACATGAGAGAATTACATTCCAGTCCTGAGAATTATTCAAAATCTCCTTCTTATGTGTCTTGTTGAATTGGCAAATATATGTTCTCATGCGACTAAAAACCCCACTTCAAAAAAAAAAAAAAGTTGATATCTCAGTGTTTTAATCACATTAAATTTTTAGTTCTAATTTATCCTTTGGACTTAACAGCATAGGGAAACAAGTCTATCAACCGAGGGACAGATCTGTGGAGTCTGTCTAAAATTCACCCCAGCTTTTCTGAGATGGATTCACATGGGAAATCTTCCCTTGTTGAAGTCCTGTTTCTTTTTAAAAAAACCTCTTCTTGCAGTGAAATTGGTACCCTTATATCATTAAAAATACTATAGGTGCTGGATTAAATGTTTCATTTGAAAACACATCCAGCAGCATAACAGAAATGTGCAGCTCACTGCAGCTGGGATTCAGCATGCACCAAGATGACCTCCTAAAACTCTGCATGATCAAAGATTTCATCTAAGAATTTGTCATCCATAGTTTTAGTCCTTCTGAAACCTTGAAAATCAAATTAAGTTAAACAGAACATTTTAGTCTTATTATCATTGCCAGCATAAACAATTCAATCAAAATTATCACAGATAATAAAAATCAGCAAAGATCACAGGTTTTAAAAATTACTTGATCACTAGAACAGGGAAATCACTATCAGTTTCTAAAAACAGCTGTGGATGTGCTGTGCTTTTATAACCCATTAAAGGTATCTTAATTTGTACAGTTATCAGAGT